CGATGTTGCCATACAGATTGTTCGTAGACCCACCTCGGTACAGATCGTAAGGAGTTGTTGATTTATGTATCCCCATTGAAGTTGATGGGACGACAACATGATGCGGATTTCCCATTATGGCATTAAAATCATTACACATTACTGTAGTCGGGCTATCAGCTTGATCAACTTGTTCAACCACCCCATAGTGGGAGCTTAATGATTAACCCCGAACATCATACACTTGAACAAATTTTGCATACATCTCAATATCGGCGTCTGAATAATTACTTTGAGAATCAACCATCATTTCAACATCAACATTGTTTGATAGTTCGAATGCTGTATAAGTTAATAACAACAATGATGTTGGAAATCTGTACTGCAACGACGACATTCTTCTACTACTTCCAACATGAACCTTCCTTGAAATCTTCGTTATCAGCTCCTCAAGAGTTATGTTTCTCTTGCATGATATTTTAACATAATGATTTGCTATGAAAACAACGTCGGTTTCATCTTCTCGAATTTCTCCATCATAATAAACAATAACTGAAATTCGCGTCATTCTTAGAGTTTGAAAGTGCGACAATATTATATTTGCAAAAAAAAAAACCTGAAACAAACCTAATTAAATAAATAATATATGAACGAAAATATAACACAATAAAACTTTTACACATAAACGTAAATAATTTAAATAATATAATTTTATATTATTGCCGTATCGGCAAAAATATTTCGACGTATGCTCCCGCTTTCCAATTTTACAACCACAAAAATTAATTGAAAACAATTAATACAATATTTTTTCAAATAATCATATATAATTATAAAAAAATATTATAAAAAAATTACCTTATAACGAAAGATCAAACGAACTTTTGAATAAAATATAAAAAGATTGATGGGTGTTTTTATTGGTTTAGAGGATTATTGTAGTAGTTTTTCGGTTGAGAGAGAGTTGTGAGAGAGTTTATGGGGGAGAGGGGTATTTATAGCGGAGAGACGATATTTTAAAGCCGAGAATTTCGGATGCAATTATGCAAGGTACGACCCCTGCACTGCGCTATAACCCTACGTGGCATAAGGCACGCCCCAGGGGCAGCAACTTACCCCACGTGGCGCCAGATCAACGTAAGGAGCGTTTCAGGGGGCACGCCTTTCTACAAAGAGTATTAGATCGATAAATAAAGATGGAAGGGTGTTTGACATGTATATAAAGTGTGAAAAAGTGATTTTTTGGTATAATCACCCATTTCAAAAACATGCCTTCTAGAATTCTGAAAATTTCAAACGAAGGTACTGTTTATCGAAATACGCCTTCTATATTTTTCAGATTTTTAATAGAAGGCATGTCTACGTGGATACACCTTTGCTCCCGTGTTGCCAGGGAGGATAAAGGTGCGTCTTTAAGGTAGCGTCTTGAACAAAAAAATAGATACTACAATATTTTAGGTTAAATTAATTTTATTTATATGATGTGTATCATTAATACAGTAAGAAAATTATAAATAAATACTAGTTTCTAAACACTTAAATTTTTAAGAATATATTTTAAGAAAAAAAATTAATAACTTTCAAATCTTTAAGACTATTTTAATTTAATATTTAATTAAAATAAAAAAATTATTGATCAATTTTAAATTCATCTCAACTCAACCCAAATCACACTAGTAAGTACCAACAACCAGCTGGTCTAGTAAGATAAGGTACTAGATTCCTTAAGATAGGTCAGAGATTCAAACATTGACATTTGCAAATGAAACAAATTGGATTGGAAAGTTGTCATTGCTTCTGCAATATTCGATCTGGATTATTAGATTAATAGATTAAATATCAGTGACTAATTAAAAAAAACTAGTAAGTACAACTTTTAACCAAATAATATAAAAACTATGAAAATGGTATTATTTTGGAATGGTTCATAGGGGTGATACTATCAAACAAACGTGGACCAAACATGTAATCTTGTCTTGAAATTTGATTAGTTCCCAAGTAAACAAAAGCGCCTTTTATTGGGGATATAATCATGGGTTTAGGGAGAAAATAAAGCCCCTAATAGGGGAACTTAATACACCCTTTGATTTGAAGCATAACTTTTTAAATAAAGTTTGTTTCCATTAATCTAATCTTTTTGTCTTCCAAATCTCCTCTTTTACTTTATTTTATACATTATTAAATTACAAAAAGGGGAATGTGATAATAATAATAAGTTGCATTTTTCTTCTAAGTTAAGATTATTAATTATTTAAGGAAAGCAATCATTTTTTTAATTTCATATTTTATCTAAATTTGTTCTAAAATTTGAAAACGGAACTATCAAGATTTCATGACAGCCTCGTGTTTTTTTTAAACAAGAGTTAATAATAAGTTTTAATCATGACTATATTTTTCGTCAAGATGATATTAAAGGAAAAATATATTTAATAATTTATATTTTTATTTAATAAAAAATAATGTGTTAAATGTAAAATTTCTAAATAGTAGTTATATCATTTTTTAATAGTGTAGGATACAAGATCATATTTGTTCAAAAAATTTAATTAATTAACAACACACATTCTACCAATGCAATTGCTCAAACCAATACTTCTGGGAGAACCAATGACGAATCCAGAAATATTTTTGAGAGTGAACATACATATATTAACAAAATAAATTTTTTGAATGAGTAGACACAAATAAAATTTCAGGGTGGATACTATTAACAAAATAAGTAATTAATTGAAGAACATTTAGATTTCAGAGTAGACACTGTCCACCTTCAACAAGCTATGGCTTAGCCACCGAAGAGAATAACATTCTATTTTATTACTGAAACCACTTTATATGTTGGTTAGATCATCTTTATTGATTTATGATATAAATTCAATGTATTTGTTTTATAATCATTACCTCAATTTATTGTTTAATAATTTAGATTGGGTATATAAAAATCTATTATAAGAACCGACTCTTTTTTTTTATTAATATAGAATGATTACAAAATAGTAACTATTTTAAAGATTTTTAATCATTTAATAATAATGAAAGCTCAAAAATCCTTGCAATCTCTAGTGCACGAACCTAGGACCTTTAGGGATAACGACTCTTAATCCAACTACCAGTTGAATATAATACATTTAATGAATATAGTACAATAAACACAATCTAATATATTTAAATATTATTAGCTAGTATAAATCAAACAACCTCAGTAATTAAAGTGAAGTCTTGAATGCAATAGTAACAAAGTTAAACATATTCACATCCCATTATATGAAATCAAAAGACCAAAGCAATATGACCAAAACAATTTTATTATTGTTAAGAGAAAATAACCTCAGTGACCAAAAATATCAGATAATATATGATTTTGACCAACTTTTTTTGGATTTGCGAAAATGACCAACAAAATCGCAATGCGATCTCTAATTCGCATTGCGATCTCCACTATCGCAAATTCGCGTTGCAATTTTCCATTTTGCGTTGTGATTTTCCATTTCGCGTTGCGATAGTCCAAGTTGTCGTTGCGATAGTTTCCAAATTCGTTGCGATAGTCTACAGTTGTCGTTGCGATTTTCCAAATTCGTTGCGATAGTAAAAAAAAGATTTTGTTTCTTAAGAATTTTCTCTAAAAAGATAGTATCCGCTCGTACGTGTCGAAGACACGTATTACCACGACCACGACCACGACCCAAGACGAGACGGCGGCGGCGCGCGCGAGAGTCCCACTTGTTCTCATCCACTCAACAAGGAAGTGGAAAATTCAAGCCTTAAATACAATTCCCAATAGTGTTTCCAATACTATGTGGGATTGAGCATTACCAACACCATAAAATCTTTGTTCCCGACCACATATAAAAACCGTTTGATTATTTCAGATTCATTCGATAAAGAACAAGAAAGATATATACCATACCACAGATTTGAGATCTCTTTCCATTATCACTTGAAAGGCATGAGTCATATCTAGTTCACTGCTACTTCCCTAACTTGACTTTCAAAAACAGTGGAGAATGAACATAGACAACTATTGTTAACTCAATCAATAACAGACGATATCGCAAATCAAGCCCTTGAACCAATCATTTTAGCGATTAATTTCCAATAAGTTACTCTTGATACTCATGGATAACCATCATAAGATGCATTAAAACCACCGATCAAGTAAGATTATCTAATACTTTCACATGTTCCGCTACCATAATATTAACTGAATAGAAATGTTTCGAGGAGAAAACAACTGCATGTACTTATTTACTATATTCTATTAGCATTTTCCTATGCAGAGATTTAGAAAAATACACATATATCAAAGAAATGCATGCTCATTACATAGTCAAGGAAGCACTAAAACAAATGCTTATGTATGCAGTTTAACAGTCCCTTCATATTTCAGTCTCTTTGATTAGTAAGTGGTGGTCGGGAACTAAGATTCTATGGTGTTAGTAATGCTCAATCCCACATAGTATTGGAAACACTATTGGGAATGGTATTTAAGGCTTGAATTTCCCACTTCCTTGTTGAGTGGAAGAGAACAAGGGGGACTCTCGCGCGCCGCCGCCGCCGTCTCGTCTCGTGGTCGTGGTCGTGGTCGTGGTCGTGGTAATACGTGTCTTCGACACGTCCGCGCGGATACTATCTTTTTAGAGAAAATTCTTAAGAAACAAAATCTTTTTTTTTAACTATCACAATGAATTTGTAAACTATCGCAACAACAACTGTAGACTATCGCAACGAATTTGGACAATCGCAACGAATTTGGAAAATCGCAACGACAACTTGTACTATCGCAACGCGAAATGAAAAATCGCAACGCGATTTTCAACTATCGGAACGCGATTTTCAACTATCGCAACGCAAATTTGCGATATTGGAGATCACAATGCGAATTAGAGATCGCATTGCGATTTTATTGGTCATTTTCGCAAATCCAAAAAAAGTTGGTCAAAATCGTATATTATCTGGGATTTTTGGTCACTGAGGTTATTTTCTCTATTGTTAATTGCTCATATACTATTATACATAAACTAAAGTGGCCCAACTTATCTATCAAATTCTCACACATTCCAATTAAGATCACTTGACAGTATATTAGAGTTAATTTTGGTACACAATCTTCAACCTATGAAGTGCCTTATGTGAACAAAACCGTAAGTCCCAAAGGACCGAAACTTATTGGTGTGGACTGAACCTTCAATCATGAACAAACTCCATTCTAGTAATGTTTATATGCATCCTAGGATAGCTAAAGCATTGAATCAATCACTAGCTAAGTTTGTGTCTAAATTACAACATGGTAATGCTGCAGAAGCCACCTCTAACAGTAACGAACCATTGTTCAACATACATGGTTAGCCAAAGATTTTAAAGGGAAATAAATGAAAGCCAATGATGCCAGTATCTGGCTCTTCAGTCTTGCACTCGTAGTCATTTATATCTGGATCTTCTTGTTCTTGATAAAATTAGGAAGGGCCATGAAGCCACTCACTTGGTAATGAAGATTTGAATATTTGAAGTAGCAGCAATGCCTTTCCGCTACTTGGCCTTTTCATTCCACGGCCCCTGTGGACACCAAGCTTAAGTGCTTCTTGTCCTTCCATAGCTCTTTTTCTAACAGCTGCTAGCAGAGCTACCCCTTGAGGACCGATGTCATCCTCTAATTTTCCATTTTCATTAGGTTTGTCGTTGGCCATATCATCAGGTTCTTCCATACTTTGATGTTTGTCTTCTCCCTCGGTTTCAGCTGCATCAACATCTATAGCTTCATGGCCATCAGACTTGCTACTTCCCCACCATTTGTTTGTAGCAATTGATAATCCATCGGATGGGAATCCATACTTAAACTCATCTGACATTTTTGTTCCTATAATCAAGCTTTGATGGCTAAAATTCAGGGCCTGTGCTGTTTGCATGTTTTTTGCTCCTTGTTGCTTTAAGTTCGGCACTGCAGCGCCACATTGTAATTTGGGTTGTTCATTGTTTTGTGGTTGAGATTGAGCGCTGCAGCATGCAGAACCATGAAATACCAGTAATACGTAAATTTCAAATGGTCAATAATACAAAAAAAAAACTGACATGCTGGTAGAAGAGTAACATTGCGCTTCAACAAAGGCAATCATTTGCAAAGAAGCATGAACGACATACATTTCTCATGAAAGAAAGTTTTGCCGTCTTAATGACTGCAATACCAGTGAGTGAAGGTGTTGAAGAGCAGTAATCCAGGGTGAATAAGCAACCAAAAAAGTGTATTTTTGTTTCGCAACAATAAATGGCCTTTTAACTTCAATCTTACGTCTTGAAGCTTTTGGGGTGCGGGTTGTATGTGGGTGGGCGGCCATAAGATTAATTTGGGTAAAAAAAAAGGTTACGGGCTGAACAGCATTATCGTTAACCTCTGTCATCTATGTGGAACTATTGACTGTGATACAAGTCCAAAGTTATTCTATCACTCTGTTTATTAATATTGAATACAAAAAAGAAAAATACATACATAGGGCTGCAAATGAACACAACATTTGATGAATATGTCATAAACAACTTGATTTCTGTTCATTTATCAAGCAAAATAAACGAACATGAATAAGATTTTGACGCTCGTTTATTAATTGAACTGAACATGAACTAGGCATGTCTGGTTCATTTATGTTCATCGTCAAGTTCGTTTACATTCGTTTAAAGCTCATTTACTATTATAATCGAATATTATTAATTTTTATGAGTTTATTTATTTATAATTTAGTTATTAATATTTATGTTTGATAATTTTATATCAAAAAAATAAGAAATGTGTTTATTTATGATTTGTTTGTTTATTATTCATGAACAGGTTTTTAATTGTCTGCAAACATATTCCCTTTTATGTTCATGCACATGTTCATTTAACAGAACATGAGCAAACTTAAAAATAAATAAACGAACATGAACAAAGATTTGTTTGTTCAAGCTCAGTTCACTTGCAGCCCTACACACACATGCGCACACACCAAGTGAGATTCACAAGTTTAACAGAGATGATACAGTGGGATATTTATATTATTCTCATATCATCATCTATTTGAACTTTTAACCTACACCACTAACGGAATCCTAGTGAGATTTTTTTAAAAGGGAAAAACAAACATGAAATCAATAAAAAGCTCAACACATTACAAACAGAAACAATGTGCTTGGAACCTTCTTTTAGAGCTCAACTACCAAAAAAGGAAAAGAAAAATAAATCTGTTCCACTTCCGCGCTCGAACACAGGTTTGCTAATGTTTCCATAAAGCACTAAATGGTGCTTAACTAAACCATAGGTTCAAAGAATCCATCTCAAAATAATGAGCCAAGTACAGTGGATAAGTTTCGTGGATGATTTTTTTTTGAAAGAAAATTATAAAAAGAAGAAAAAGCTCATAACTTAAAAGTACAAACTTAAATTTTTATGAGGTTCAGAATTTTTCTACACCAGAGAGGCTATGAAAATGTTACTCCCACTCTTGATTTCTTTTAATTTAACACTAGTATCTAACAAATATCTGAGCATGTGTACACAGAGATATGACCCTCTAAGAACTCTCTAAATACATGGAAAAACTTGAAGAAAAATAGAACATAGTTGTTTTAGACATGTGCATATCCGTCACTCACCCTAGTCCAAGTAACATAGTTATGACATAACTTTTTCCTATGACAAGATAGTCGAGAGACAGGTTCATTTAGCATTGTCTTCAATAGATTTTGTAAGCAGCTAACTAAATAATTTTCCCTCCTACATAATTGATTGATAATAACATAGCTTATGGTGAATTATTTGTTTACAAAATTCATAAGTGCACAAAACACACAGGTTACCATCAAAATGAATTCACAAAAAACACCAACTTGAACCCCCCAACCAACATAAATAAATCCAAATTATCATGAATGAAGACAATCAAATTGAACAAATCTTTTTACATTATACCTTTGCCAATGAACCTTTGAAAGCTCAGCGATTTCCTTTCTTCTTTCTCTAGCTGCATGCCTCTTAATTTCTTCAATGCTCTTCCCGGATAAAAACTAGACCTCATTTTAAAAATCACATACAATGAAACAGAACAACACAAAATTAAAAGATTTCCCAAAAAATGGGGGAAATAGAAAGAAAAAAAATTGTTTAACTGCACAAATAAAACATGGGCGTCCAACCAAATCGGTTAAATATTATGATTATCACCATGAAACTGCAGACAGTCAAGAAAGTAAAGAAGTGGACTTTCCTTTTGTATACCAAAAAACTAAACTACCCTTCAAAGCTATGACAATATCAAACCATTTGGTGAAACTCTGATAATTAGCACCATGAAAGTGCAGATAGTCTAGAAACGAAGAATTGAAATGTCCTTTTGTATACTAAAAACTCAAACTACCCATCACAGAAGATGACGATATCTAGCCATTTGATGGGAGTTTGAATGATTGAAAAAAAAAACAAGATAAGTACAAAATGATGGAGAGAAGAAAGAGGGGTTACCTTGCTATGAGGCCATCTATCAAGACCATTTTCACGGCAGATTTTCTTGAGAACAGAGGCGGAAACGCCTGAGGGAAGGGAATTCAATACAGAAAATGATAAACACCAATGGAATTGAAATATCAAATTAAATGCTTAGAAAAAAAATACCAAGAGTGGAAGCGGCGTCGTCAAGAGGAAGAGAGAAGAAGTCAGCAACGTCATCAAAAGAGAGAGATTGAGCAGCTGCAGAGTTGGATTTATAGTGTTTTAAGCTCATCCTTTTTTTCTGCTTCTTTGCCTTGCCTTTGAGTCCCTTCACTATTCACTTGCCAAATCAATTTATAGTCGGACCCAAATAGGATCCGAGCCAATCTAATGATTTTTCAATGAAGGTTAATACAAAAATAAGTCCATAAACTATCCTAAATATAATTTTATTCGTTTAAAGAATTTTTCGTTAAAATATAAATTTAATATTTTTTTCGTTATACTTTTAGATGTCAATACAGTAACACAATCGTTTAAAAAATGTTTAATATATTTTTAAGTGTCTAAACTATATCTTAAATTGATTTTTAGTGTCTAAAGAATTTTTCACTAAAAATATATGCTTAATGTTTTCTCTATTATATTTTTAGGTATATATATATATATATATATATATATTATTTTTTTAATAATAAAAATATTTTAAAAAAACCTCTGGCGTCGACTCTCTCCCTCACATCCCCCACCTCTAACGACGATGAAGGATCACCACCAACTGGGTTTTGTTCAGAGCAAGGCGATGAACTCAAAGGTGGCATTCATGTAATGTACGGTCAGTTGTAACTGTTGGAATCGTCGGAAAATAACAAAGGAAAACTTAGAAATTTGACGCCCTACATGATTCTTTTCACGACGATCGACGTAGTTTCACAGTAGGTGGGGGATTGGGTTTGGTCGCGGTGACAAGAAGGTTCTAATGGTATCAATGGTGATGGCCACGGGCCGTCAGTGGTTGATCGACGGTGAAAACAAATAAATTTTGAGTTTTTTAAATTATAATATTAAATCTTTTTTTAAAATAAATATTTTTTTGAGATTTTATATGTGTGACAAGAGATATATAACGGTCAAATTTAACAATCGTTATGATCCAATACCTAAAGTGTAACGTTGAAAACGTTAGACACCTGCTTTTAGCGAAACATTCTTTAGGAACCAAAAATCAATTTGAGGTATAGTTTAAGTACTTCAAAGTGTATTAAGCCTAAAAAATCTTTAAGTGACACATGTTATGTTTATATTTTATCTTAATGCAAAAAAATATCCAAACTATACTTTAAGTTAACTTTATGTGCCTAAAGAATTTTTCGCTAACAATAAATGTTTAATCTTAAGATCATTAAATGAGTTCAAAATTTGTGTGAGACATTTGATTGGTGTTTTTTCTTGTTGACCAAATTTCTAATGAATCTAAAGTTTTATTATTGTATGTTTCTATTTAATTTTATGATTCCTTTAGCATGAAATTATGACAGTAAATTTTAAGTGAATCATGTATCGAATACTTGAATTGCCCATCCAACTCAGTTGGTAAGAACGCAAGGCTCTTAATCTTGTGGTCGTGGGATCGAGTTCCACTGTGGGTAATTCATAATTTTGACTGTCGGAGCACCAACATTATTTGATTCCAAATTCAGGGCAATCCCTATTGTACCTTCTTCAAATTCTACTAATTCACCTGCCATTACTTCATCAAGACCATGAATACGAGCAATGCCGTCGCCCACTTGAAGTACGGTACCAGTATTTACAATCTTTACTTCTCTATTATATTGCTCAATACGTTCACGGATAATATTACTAATTTCGTCGGCTCTAATAGTTACCATGACTATTTCCTAATTATTTTTTGGAAGAAAAAAAATAATGCCTACAATAAAGTAAAAGGTAAAAAAAGGGAGGTCTACCACGAAAGTTGCTCTCAACCTGGCGTTGGGGGCAGCCTACTATACTACCTCCTCCTTATCCCATTACATATAGGAATAGGGTCAGCTAATTATGTATCGAATACTTATTTCTCTTGCTCGTTCGATTTATACTAATTGGATTTTGTTGTTCTATTTTATGATAATTTTTGACATATATGGTTATTTAACATCTTAAACCTGATTCATGGCATATGGTGGGTCTAAAATGTTAGCCTAAGTCCTGAAAATTCTGTCACGCAACAAATCATTTAAAATTTATTTTATCCATTGTAAAGTCAACAAAGAATATCATTTTACACATTTTGGTTTAAATTATAATAATTTGTTCTTTACCAAGTAAGAATGTCCACATTACATTTCAATATTATAATAAACAAAACTATATTTAACTAAATTAATATACTCTCTTATAACAATTTAATCTAAAACCAAAGCTTGGATTCAATGGGAAAATTTAGCTAAGGTTCGATTCATGGAAGACCTATCACATTCACATACAACTAACTCTTGGATGATGACAGGAATTTATGACAAAAATTCCAAGACGATGATTATAATTTAAATAGAAGTAATTAGGCCTGTAAACAAACCAAACGCACACGAACGGAAGTATGTTCATTTTCGTTCATTTAATAAATAAACAAACATAAACGAACACAAACATAAACGAATAATTTTTTTTTTGTTCATGTTCGTTCATTAAGGAATATAGCTTGTTCATGTTCGTTCATTTAATAAATAAACGAACATAAACAAACAAAAACATAAATGAACACGAACATAAACGAACATAAACGTTGGAGACCCTACCTTCCATTGTTCTTTCATGAAAAATAGTCGACAATGCAAATCAACCAAATCTACAGTGATAATAGCGTAAGAGCTGATTAGCAGTGATGAAATGTTTGATGATATCAGATATTTCGATCAATCTTTTAAAGATATTAAATGATTCACACGACTTTAGAGTTAATTTGTTCGAATACGACAAAAACATATATAAATCATAAGTAAGCTATATGAACTTAATAAAGTCTTAAAGTTAATTTGTTCAACAAAACAATCTTCTTGAAATCCAAACAACTTCAATAATATTTGTAACATATTCAATTTGGATTCATGATCAGTCATTAATTCATCATCCATCCTGATCAAAATCAAACAAATAAAATTATATTAAATTAAAGGAGTTATAACAAAAGATGAAAACTATACTAAATTAGCGAGGTTATACCAATTCATTCATCCTCATTTTCAAGGAAGCTCAACATGTATGATATCTTCGTTTTGCTACAACAAATCAAAAAACCAAAAATATATTAGTCATTGTAAAACTAAATTCAATAAAACTTAAAACATAAAAATACCTTGTTTTTATTTTTCTCCAACCCATAGTATTGACGATACCAATCAGCTCCACAAACAAGCATATCTACCATCTTAGTTCCTAAAGAGGATCGATGCGGATCAATAACCCTCCCACCAGCACTGAAAGCAGATTCAGAAGCAACATTAGTGACCGGAATTGCCAATATGTCAGCAGCCATTTTTGACAAAATGTTAAATTTAAGATTGTTCTCCTTCCACCATCCCAAGGCATCAAAATATACACCAGGCTCACCAATTAAAACTCCTTCCTCCAAATAAGTGTCCAATTCTGAATTGAAAAATGTAAAAGTATCGACACTTCTAATATGTTGGTCATATTTAGCTGTGCCAGTTTTAATACCTTTACCAAACTGACTGAATAAGGAGCTAACACTACTCTTAGAAGTACCACCAATACTAACACTTTGACTCCCATTAGTAGATGAAACAACATTTGCTGCTTTATGAGCCTCAACATATTCTTGGTATAACTCATATAAAATACATCGAACTATTTGCATTTCTCTCGAAGCCTCATCATGTGAATAAATAGTTTGGAAAGAAAACTCAAGCAATTTCATTTTATACCTGATAAAGAGAATGACATCAATTAGAACTCAAATAAATTCATTAAAATAAAATTCAAACAACTTAAATTTATACATGGGATCTAAAATGGCACCAATTGAAATTAACAAGTTAAAAGTACCCCAATACTTGTCAAATTTTTTCTTCATCTTCATAGCCATAGCTCCATGTAATCACTTCCTCCTAAAACTACTGCATCCAATGCTTCTTTTATCCCAAACAATTCGCTAAGAAATAAATTGGATGTAGGATATTCGAAACCTATAATATTAAAAAAATAATTAGTAGTAAATTCTTTGTATTAAAAATTAATAAAAAGAAATCAAGTTATACCTGAAATGATTTTTGTAGCTTCATTGAAAAGTGCCAAGAATGAGCAAACCTCTTCAAATTTCTTCCAGTCTTCCTCGCTCAGTAAAGTAGTGTATGTAGACTCTCGATCGGCATAATTCACAAACACTTCTTTGAACTCTAAAGCAGTAGACAACATAGCATATGTAGCATTCCACCTGGTACTAACATCTAAAAGCAAGTTCTTTTTTGTCATTGAAAGTTGTTTGGCGAGTTCACTAAAAATATGCAATCGACCCGGAGAGGCATTGACATGTTTCACACTCTCACGAACATTATGAATTATGTCTTTAATTTCTCCAAGACCATCCTGAACTAACAAATTAAGAATATGTGCACAACACCGCACATGAAATAATTTTCCACCAACATCAAGTTGCTTCTGAAGATTCAAATTTTCTATCAATTTTCTAGCCACCACATCATTAGTCTTAGCATTGTCCACTGTCAAAGTCACCACCTTTGTCTCAATGTTCCACTCCATTAGACACATAAAAAGTGAATCATAGATACATACTCCAGAATACGATGGAGGCACGTCAACAAAACTTAACATGCGTTTGTGAAGCTTGAAATCAGAATCTACAAAATGGCATGTAACTACCATGTAATGGATGTTTTGATTTGATGTCCACATATCTGTAGTGATGCTTACACGCTTGATAGAATCTAATAATTTTTGAACTCTTTTCTTTCCAATCTCATAACTGGAAATACAATCTTGTTTAACAGAAGCACGTGAGATCTTGTTAAATCCTGGATTTGCTTCTTTCATTACCACATTAAACAGTCCATACTCCATAAAATTAAAAGGTAATTCATGAATCATGATCATGTGGGAAATAACCTCTCTCATCTTTGCATTGTTAAACTTCCAATTTCGAACCATAGATGAAGAATCTGATTTGCCAGGCTGCACTTTTAAACTTAATTGACCTCTGTTAACCACTTTCAACTTTGGACAATCACCAATATGCCTATGCAACGGTGTGGTGGTTCCATATTTCATTTTCTTAAACTTTTCTCCATAATGGCTACATTCACACAAGTCAGTTCCATCATGCAACTTTACCATCCGGAAATGTTCCCAAACTCCTGAAGTCTTCTTTCTCTTCCTTCTAGTGAATGGAGTTGGTTCTTCATTGTTGACGTGTTCTACACTAGTTGTAGCTGCTGCATCTACTTCTTCGTTATCAGCTGTAATAAAAACAACATCTGGATTTTGTGTACTTTCCATGGTTGGAGTGTTGGTACTTGATTCAAATTCAGTTGATTCAAGTGGAGAATCAGACATCTGTGGTACAACAATGAGTAAATGTTAGCATTAGCAAATAAAAGGATTTTTTCTATTATCAAATTAAAATAGTAGCATATCAACTAAAACAGCACATCTAAATTGATGTAAAGCAAACACATCGGCAATGGAATGAAACCAACTTGCAGTAGCGACCAGAATAACTAAAATTACTAAAATATGGCATCATAACAGTACATAACACCAAAACATCATCAATCTTCAACCCATCTCAACATCAATCCACTCCCCATATCATAGTAACACCAATACAAACCAAGCATGTATATGGAGTTATAACAAAGTGGACAACAATTATGATATACCACAAACACAACACCAAATGGATACATCAGCTCAATAACAAAAACCATATTCATCGAACATAAACAACCTCCACACAGGGGCATAAACGAAGGCCATCAATAGTCTTTCGTAACACTACACATCACCAGTAAATCTCTAACTGTAGGAATAGGGTCTTACTTGTTCGGGCATTTCAGTATGCCATAGATTCACCAAACTGCACATTTCCAGTAAATCTCTAACTGCAGGAATAGGGTCTTACTTGTTCGGGCATTTCAGTATGCCATAGATTCACCAAACTGCACATTTCCTTTTTTCCATGAACCAAAAATTAAAAACACAAAACATGCCATAAAAAAATCCTTAAAAAAAACCAATCCACCACGTGACAGGGCAGGGCAGTTTCATGTTTTCCAACTTTGATTAGGCTATCATCAATACTAGTATTCTTTTCTGGGTTTATATCACTTCAGATTACTTGTATTCAATCAAGTGTGAAAGCAAAAGAGAAAGACAGGGCGAGAAACATAGGAAGAATCTAAGAAACCAACGTTGCGAAAGCCTAAAACTTTCCCAACTTCAACCATAGAGCAAAGCAATATTTTTGTGAGAAAGAGACTTGGTCTCATGCGTGTCTCTATTGGGACTCCACACATTTCTGCATCTTCTTCTCCCAAGGTTGGAACTTGAAAGAGAGAAAAAAGCAAGAAATTAGTGAACATGACATGGATATTACTCACATGGAAAGAAAGGGAGAACAATAAGAGTAGAGAATGGAGAAGAAGAGCCATAGCTGCAAAAATATACTCTGGCCTCCGAGCTCAAGGCAATTATAAGCTCCCCAAACATTTCGACAACAACGAGGTCTTGAAAGCTCTTTGTGCCAAGGCTGGTTGGATCGTTGAAGAAGATGGCACCACTTACCGCAAGGTTTCCTTTTCCCTTCACTTCACTTGTACAAAATTTTACTTTTTGAAGCTTGTTCTAAAACGAGTTTCTGTTAATCTTTTGATGCAGGGATGCAAGCCACCTCTATTGGAGCTCGGAGCGGCTTCGACCAACATCAGTTCATGTTCATCTATTCAACCCAGTCCACAGTCTTCATCTTTCCCAAGCCCCGAACCTTCTTACCATACGAGTCCCTCATATTCCTTATGCCCGAGTCTGACTCGTTTCGATTCAAATACCTCGACTCACCTCCTTCCATTCCTCTGCAACATTGCATCCATATCCAACAACGCTCCACTGACCTCGCCACTTTCTTCCCCCACTAGAGGATATAAGTGCAAATCTGACTGGGACTCCCTAAGAGCAACTCTAATGCGGATAACTGGGCAACGAGGGGTGGGCTGGAGAAGACCGACTGGTTGAATGCATTGTTCATAGTGGCATACAAGGGGTTCCACATCGTTCAAGATGCCACAAAAAATCCCTAAATTCACACCCCAAAATTAACATACCAAAAAAAATTCAAATTATTTACCTTATGAAATCACGTTCAAGAAGGGAAAGAGATGAAGCTCTGTCGAATCGTTGTAGTTGAAGACTTGAATGAAAATTATGGAGAGTGGGGAGAGTTGAGAATCAATAACGGCTGAATGACGGGCTGGAGAAGAGTTGAGAAAATATTGTTTTTAGATTTAGTGTTTTTTGTATTACCGCTTAATCAGGCTATAAAATTGGGTTAATTATGAAGTTGGTCATCAAAATATCATATTAATTAATATTTTTAAGATACATACAAATTGGTTACCAAAATTGATTTAAGAATATTAGGTTAAACATAAATGAACGCACATAAACGAACATAACCGAACGCATATAAACGAACATAACGGAACGTTCACGAACATAAATGAACGAACGAGACCTATGTTCATATTCGTTCATTTAATTAAACGAACACAAAATCTTGTTCATGTTCGTTAATTTAATAAATAAACGCACATAAACGAACTTCCCGCCGCACGGTTCATGAGCGGTTCGCTAAACGTTCAATTCATTTACATGCCTAGAAGTAATAAATTTTAATTAGTTTAGTGTTAAAAGTTAAACTAAATTACACTTCGAAGTTACACTAAATTACACTTCGAAGTTACACTAAATTACACTTCGAAGTTACATAATTATATGTTTGATAAAAAATATTTACTTTTTATTTTAAAAATTATATTAAGTAAAATATTGTTATAAATATATCACTATTTCGTTAAATATTAGATAAAATAGTGACGTAGTCTAATATAATAACAATTTTAGTCTTTAAAACTTATAAAACTAATCAATTTAATATTAATATGAAATAATTCAATATATTAACTACTTATATTGACAAAATTTATTATTTAACTAAAATAAAATATTAAATGTTGACTAATAACTAATTGATCTGGAATGATAAAATATTAAATTTATTAGGCACATAAAGTTAACTTAGGGTATAATTTAGGCACTTATTTTTGCATTAAGCTAAAATATAAACATGGCATGTGTCACTTAATGGGTTTTTAACGATCATTATTGTGTAGGCACCTAAAAGTGTGACAGATAAAACGTTAGACACCTAAAAATGTAACGAAGAAAATATAAGATAACAATTTTTTTTAAAAAAAATCCTTTAGCCACCTAAAATTAACTTAAGGTATAATTTAGGGATTTATTTTTACATTAAGCCTTCAATGAAACATTTATGTGGTAAACAACACCATTGACAACTTAACTATTTATTAATTTTACTTTAACCACTAATCTTTTAATTTTGTCAATCAGATCATCTAACTATTTAATTGTATTCAGTCAAACCACTTGATGTTAGAAACTAAACAACCTATCTGACGTGTATGTTTAATGATTTTTTCCAAGTTCGACATACTTAGTGGCCACGTCATTATGCCACATAAAAATATTTTGGTAAAATTTGTCATATAAAGAAACCGTAAGTCACTTATGGAAAAATGATTTCTTTCTTCAAAACCCTAAATAAACTACTAAAAAAAGAACAAAATAATAAAGTGAAGGAAGATGTAACCCCCTAGACTTGGCCTAGATGTTACGACCAAATCTAGGTAGTCACATGTTATATTCAGAAGTCCTTTTCATATTTAAAACACAGTTGAAATCCATATAACAGTATCATACTAAACTAACCAACAATGAGGTTCATACGGTAAACACACACACACACACACATATACATATATCGGAAAACCGTATAAAACATATACAAAACAAAATATTGGTAATACAAATATATAAAAACAATAGTAAAAACACGAGTCACCAAAATATAACAAAAAGGGCATATAGAAATATATAGTGGTACAAAAATGAGGAGTGAATGGTCCTCATGATATCAAGTCAACTAGTCTACTGTCTGGTACTATATGAAAAGGTTAAAAATTTAAAAAGTGAGCTAAAAAGCTCAGTGTGATCCTTGTGGTGTATAAAAACATACAGATAAAATACTTTGGTAAAAATTAGTTCATGAAACATGTTTTGAAAACATGAACACTACCCCCATCCGAACACCGGAATGTATAGGTTCCCCTGAACCATACACCCACTTATACACCCGATAAGGACCTTATACGTGTAGCATAAGGACCTGCGGTAAGGACTTACCCTATGCACAAAGCAAAGGAGCCTGTGGTAAGGTCTTACAAGTCATAGACTATGTCTGAGATACTTCCTCCAATAACAGCCCCCATGATAGTAATAACCATGTATGTATCTACGTGAAAACGGTAGTTTAATTCATTACGACAAGAAAATATTCCATATTCCAAAATCAGATATAAAAATACAACAACCGAAGATCATATAAGAAATATACAGTAAATCAGATATCAAATAAATAATAATCAGAAAATTAGATATCATGTCGTAAAAATATTCAATGTCATCAAAATTCCAAAATAGTTCAGATAGGTAGCTCAAAACAGTAATGTAACACCATCAGGAAACACACATGTATTGGTCTGAGTAGCCTGATAAGGTAGCCTACTTCTTGGTCTTCCTATCACGGTCAGTGACACCGCTAGATCCTAATAATCGAAACAACTATATCACAATACAAATGTGAATAATAATAACCTCTATTTAAACAATTTACGAAAACCTATGAGTAACTCACGAAGTACGTGGATCGTGCGAATATATCAGACGAGAAGCTCTGGTTCTAGTTGACCTTTGATTAAGAGAAACACGATTACCTTCATAAAAATATATTCTCGAATTAATTTCATAATCAAATCTAAAGAAAAAAAAAGAAAAATGCTAAAAATATTAAGCATTTTTGGGTTAAAGGGTTCAATTTGGTGGGTCAGAATTTGGCAAAACGAATCACAAAATCGGACTCAAGATGTCGAAAAATGTCAAGAGGGAGGTTTTCACAAAAAATAAATGTCAGTTAATGATCAATATCAGTCAACGGTCAACAATTGACTTGGTTTGGTTCGGGTAAGACCGGTCTGGTTTGGTTCAAACTGGACCTATTTAGATTTATTTGGGATTGTGTCGGTTGGATTGGAATAGACTGGTACAAGGGGGACGGGTCGGATATGAGTCATATTAGGCGGGTCAGATCGAGTTGGCCCATTTTTGGGAGGTCTAACAAGCGGTGGATAAGCCCTACGATCAGCGGTGGTGTGTGGGGGTACGTGGGGTGTCTTCTTGGGTCAAAAAGATATGAAAAG